CTCTCGAATGACCAGTGATGTTGAACATTCTTTATATATTTATTTGCTGCTTTTATTTCTTTTTCTGAGAAATGTCTGTTCATTTCAGATGGCTATTTTTGAATTAGGTCTTTGTATTTGGAGGGTCTGGTTTTTTTGAGTTCTTTATATATTCTAGGTAGTAGTCCTTTGTCTGAGGAGTAGCTGGAAAAACTTTTTCTCACATTGTAGGTTGTCTCTTAGCTCTGTTGGTGATTTTTGTCTTGCACTGAAAAAAACTTTTTTAGTACAATGAAATCCCAGTTGTTGATTCTTTGTGCAAGTTCTCATGCTGCTGAGGATTTGTTCATAGAGTCTTCACCTATGTTAATGTCTTCAGGAGTGCTACCTAATTTACTTTCCAGTAAATTTAGTGTTTCTGTTTTGATATTTAGATCTGTAACCCACTTGGATTTTAGTTTAGTGCATGGTGAAAGCAATGGGTCTAGGTTTAATCTTTGGCAAGTTCAAGGCCAATTTTTCCAACTCCATTTATTAAAGAGGCTGTCTTTCCTCCAGTGAGGATGCTTGGCTCTTTTGTCAAGGATGAGGTAGCTGAGTATGTCTGGTGTTGTTTCTGCATTTTCTAATCTAATCCACTCATCCTCAGGTCTGTTTCTTTGTCAGTACCATGCTGTTTTTATCACAGTGGCTTTGTAGTATTGTTTCAAGTTGGGAATTGTGATATCCCCTGCCATGTCTCTGTTACCTAGAATGGTTTTTGCTATTCTAGGTTTCTTCTGGTTCCAAATGAATTTTTGGATTGTTTTTCAAGTTCTGTGAAATATACTGTTGGGATTTCTATAGGTATTATATTGAATCTTTACAGAAGTTTTGGAGTATAGCCATTTTCACTATGTTGAGTCTTCTTACCTAGGAACAAGGAATGTCTTTCCATCTTCTTATATCCTCTTCTATCTCTTTTTTCATAGTGCTGTAATTTTCAGTGTAGAAGTCTTTTGTCTCCTTCATTAGATTAATTCCTAGATACTTCATTTTTTTGGATGTGATTGTTAAAGGAATTGTTTCCCTAATTTTTCTCTCAGTAAGTCTGTTATTTGTTTACAAGAAGGCTATTGATTTTTGAGTGTTGTCTTTGTATCCAGCTACTCTGCTGAATGTGTCAATTAAATCTAAAAGTCTTTCGGTGGAGTTTTGGGGTCTTCTGTGTTGAATATCATATCATCAGCAAAGAGTGACAGTTTAGCTTCATCCTTTCCTATCTTTATTCCTTTATTTCTTTCTCTTGTCCAATTGCTATGGCTAATGTTTCTAGAACTATAATGAACAGGACTGGTGATAGTGGACATGCTTGTTTGTTCCCATTTTTAGCATGAAGGTTTTCAGTTTTTGACCATTTAGAGTGATATTGGCTGTTGGTTTTTCATAGATAGCCTTTGTAAGGTTGAGATAAAGACCATCTATTCCAATTTTCTGTAGGGTTTTTATCATGAATGGGTGTTGAATATTTTCAAATGCTTTTTCTACATCTGTTGAGATGATCATATGGTTTTTGTCTTGTCTCTGTTAACATAGTGTATTACACTTATTGATTTATGTATGTTGAACCATCCTTTCACCCCTGGGATAAATCTGACTTGGTCAGGCTGTATGATTTCCCAATGATATTCTATATTCTGTTTGCCAGTGTCTTATTAAGGATTTTCACATTGATGTTCATTAAGGAGATTGGCTTGTAGTTCTCTTTTTTCATTGGGTTCATTCAGCTCTGTTATTTCATTGTTGATTTTTCTTTTCGTCTAGCTGATCTGTCTCTTTGTGTCAGTGGTATTGAGGTTCCCCATTACAACTGTATTAGTGCTTATTTCATTTTTCATATCCATTAGTGTTTGTTTTGTATAGTTGGGGGCATTAGTATTTGGTGCATATATATTTATGATTGCCATTTCTTCCTCTTTTATTGTTCCCTTGACAAGGATGTAGTGGCTTTCTCTGTCTCTCTTAATTAGTTTTGGTTTGAAATCTATTCTGTCTGCAAATAAGATAGCTACCCCATTTTTTTTCTGGGATTCTGTTGCATGGAAAACTGTTTCATCCTTTTACTCTCAGTCTATGAATTTCTTTGTGGATTTTATGGGTATTTTGTATATAGCATATTGTTAGATTTTTGCTTCTTAATCCATTCTGCCAGCCCATTTTTTTCTGATTGGTGAATTGAGGCCATTAACATTGATGGTTATAACTGTTATGGATTGACTTTTCATTGTCATGTTATTTTTTTGTTGTTGGGTCTTTTACTTTGTATTTTTCCCTTTCTCCCTTTAATTTCTTGTCTTGCATGGTGTATTTGATCTGTTGGCCCTTATGGAGTTGTGACCTTCATTTACTTTTTCCAGGATATTGTTTAGAAGTGTTTGGAGTGCTGGTTTGCTGTTCATGAAATTTCTCAGTGTTCTTTGTTGTGAAAGTATCTTATTTCCCCATCAATTTTGAAAGTTAGTTTTTCAGGATACATCAGTGTAGGTTGGAAATTGTTTTCTTTTAGAACTTGAAATATCTTACTCCAGGCTCTCCTTGACTTGAGGGTTTGCTATGATTCTGATAGGTTTTCCTTTACATGTGATTTGTTTCTTTTCTCTAATTGCTTTTAGTATTGTGTTCTGTTTGGTTTCTGGGATCTTGATTATTATATGTCTAGGTATAGATTTTTTCTTTTAATCATGTCTAGTTGGAGTCCTATATGCCTCACTTATCTGTACGTTGAATTCTTCCTCTCTGTTTGGGAAGTTTTCTGTCATTAATTTTGTGAACAGTTTTTTTTTTAATGTCATTTATACTTTCTTCTGCTACTTCATGGATTCTTATCAGTCTTATATTATTATTCTTTGCATCATCTAACAGTTGTTGGATTGATTTGTCATGATCCCTTACTGTTTTTAAGAGATCTCTCTTTTTGTGGTCACTGACCGCAGTCCTATCTTCTATATCTGAAATTCTATCTTTGAATCATTCATTCTTGCTGTGAATGCTTTTTGTAGAGTTTTTAATCTCCTGGATGTCTGTTTGAATCTGTTTCATGAATTCCATTTCTTTCCTATTTGGGCCTTCACAGTTTCTATTTCTTTCTGTGTTGGGCATTCATGGTTTCCATCACAGTCCTATTTTTTAAAATCTGTTTCTGTTCTAGAGTCTTTAATCATGTCTTTCAATCTTCTCACCATCTTTGTGGTTATCTGGGAAATTATGTGTTTTGAACTTTTCTAGAGCCTCATTTATCTGCTTTGTTACTATAGCAGGGTGTCCAAATGGCTGACTGTCAGACTTTTCTACCTCATTTCTCCCATGGTTTGCCTTTGGTGAAGTGGAAGTCTGTGCTTGTGTCTTGTTTAAATGTCTTCTCATTTCTATTTTTGTATTGGTAATGTCCTTTGTTTAATTCCTGGGTTAATACTTTAATCTTCCAGATATAGCTGGTCCTTAGGTTTTGAATCTCTAATGACTCTGATGCAATCGCATTTTCATTATACCAGGGAGGACAATCACAATACCTTAGCCCAAGTGATACAATCAGCAACACAATAGCATCAAACACAGTTTAGAAAATGACAATTTGTGGTAGTTATTAATCTGTCACTTTTAACTGTGTAAATTAAATCAAAATTGAGAACCAGCCCAAAATATGTTTATAATGAACAATCTCTTCAATGTAGTAACTTTACCCTTCAGGATGGGGATTTAGAAGGAGTTCGAGAGGGAGGGATAGATAGGATAGAGAAAGGTTTGAAGTGAGGTCAGAGGACACAGGACGATCACACAAACTCTAGGGAGCTCTTGAAGAGGAGAAGACAGAACAAAATATACACAAGAACAGAACAAACTAACAGCAATAAGGAGGCTAGAGACTGTAATCGCTTCCTTTTAAAACTAATGGCCATTGAGAGAAGGAAAAAGAGAGGAAAAGGAAAAGAAAGAAAATAAATTTAAATTAGGATAGGAAGAGGAACAAAAAGGGAGAGTAATGAAGATCAAGGTGGGAGAGAGAGAAAAGAAGATAAGGAACACAAAAGAAAAAAGAAAAAATTTGAGCAAAGAAAAAGATAGATTTTTTAAATGATTAAAGATAAGTGAAAAATATTACTTTGAAAATAAAAAGTACAAATAGAAATAGAGGGCCTCCTTCAGGGTATGCCTCTGTTGACACAATAGACAGCATGGGCAGGAGTGTGCAGATCTAATTTAATTAGTCTCGGTGAGCCAGCTGCTGTCCCCGGGGGTTCAGGCTGATTTCTGGCTGCGAGGCCCAACTTGAGGTCTCTGACCTCCTGCTGGGTTGAACTCTGCAAGGTTCTACTGCAGGTTCCAGCTGTCTTTCCACTGAAAATAGACCAGGTTCCGATGTGAGGTGCTGGTCCCTCTGACTTAGCAACTGTGGTGGTATTCTGTGCCTTTATCACAGAGACTTTCTTCACTTTTCCAGTGGGCTTCAATTTACATCTAGGAGCCTCAGAGAGGCCCTCTTTCTCTTGCCTGTGGTGGTGGTGGGGGCACATGTGTTGGCACCTGTGGCTGGGCACTCTGGCGCACTGGGCAGAAGGGACAGGCCTACCAGAGGATCGAGAACTGCTGCCAGTCTCCTCTAGTGTGCTGGGCTGAAGGTGAAAGGTTTATTTTAGCTCACATGTTATAGAGGTTCAGTCCATAGTTGACTGGTTCTACGGCAGGGAAACATGGCAAAAGGACGTGGTAGAGGAGAAACAGTTCATGGCATGGCTGGGAGGACATGGGGAGCCTTCCTTCCTCTTTCCTTTTCATTCCATCCAACCCTTGGTTGTTGCTATCCTCGCTCAGGGTGGGTCTTCCCCCTTCAGTAAATCTATCATCCCCACTCAGAGGTATGCTAAGCCAATCAGTGGACTAAACCAGTGTCACACACCCACGATCCAGTCCCTTGAGCACACGAGGCTTTGGGGGGGCATCTAAATGTAAGCCATAACAGATGCTTCTGTTTCTCTTGTCTCCAGCTGTGTCCACCGGCCTTGTGGGGAGCTGGGCAGCTGTGTGCCATTGCTGCTTGATCACACGGACATGGTGAACTGTACCTCTAGCAGCCCAGGTCACATGAAGTGTGCTATCACCTGTCAAAGGGGATTTGCCCTTCAGACCAGCAGCGGGCAATACCTCAGGCCTTTTCAGGTGAGTTGGAAGGCCATGCTCATCAGGACCAAACACCTGGGGCAGGAAGCTATTTATGGTCTTTCCTCTGGCTAGACTGGGGAAGGGAGGGGCAGGGTTTATAAACCATTTAACAGAAAAAAAAATAGAGCTGTAACATGCAAAAAGAAGGATAACAATAAAAATGCAAGGTATATAAGAGCATGTGCAAGTCTGTTTATTAGAATGTGAATTTGCTCTCTAGATAGGCAGTAGACATAAATGATTATTCTATTTTTCCTTGTTTTGTCTTCCTGCCAGAAATGATATTCCTCACTTTTAAGTTTGAGATGAGACTATAAAGATAAACGCAGTCTTAATTTCTAGTCAAGGTACATTTCAATCAGTGTATCTGTGGTTCCTTATCTACCCCTTCCCCACAACCCATCTTGCAAGAAGGTTGGAGAAATACAGCATGATTTCACCCCAAAAGCATTAAATCCATTACTGGACAGAGATTCTATCATGATTCTAGCTTTGGCTGAATTTTCTATATTTCTATAAGCCCAATTCCAAATTTCTATAACACCACTTCCAGAACTTTGATGTAATTGAGAGGTAATAGAATACATTGGTTAAGATCATGTTTTAAAACACATATCTGAAGGAAAATTCAATTCTACTATGTAGTAGGCGTGTAACTTTAGGTAAAAGCAGATAAAACGAACTCTTCGAGCTTGTTTCTATATGTGTAAAATAATTGAAATGCAAGTGCTCATTTGATTGAATTAATAAGAGGACTGGCTGGAAATAATTTAAAAGCTTCCAGTAAAATGATAGGCACATGACATTCTGATAAGCTGCCATTATTATCAACATAATAATGTTTTCCTATGAAGTTTGTTCTCCAATTTTGTTTTATGAGATTGCAACACTCTACAGAGGAATTTAAAAGATAAAACCAACCTTTAGAAAACATGGCCATATTTTGAGACGAAAAGGGAGGCACTAGACAGAAGATAATAGTGTCTAAGGGGAGAACCATGAAGTTGTATTATCTGAAAAGGGTAGATGAATGATTGTTAGATAAAAACAGTTTATAAGACTGGATTTTAAACAAATTGTGTCAATTTTTTGCTTAATGGGTTGTGAACATGTGAAAGTATTTCACATGCTTAAAAATGTTTAGAAAGGCAACCTTAAGATTCAGAGGGTTTAAATTCTGTCCAGAAACAACTTTAATGCCTTTTGAAAAACTAACTTCTTGGTCTAAGATACTTGTTAGAAAGGCAGAGCTCTTATGAACTGTTCCTAACTCATCTCCACTCAGGAGAAGTATGTGTACACTAAAGTAAGGTAAAAAAAGAACAAAAAGTGTAGGATCCAAATATGCTTGCATGATATGTAAAGCAAAGAGAAGTAAACATGATGTTTAAAATACATTAAAATTAGGGGTGATTAAGACAAAATGGATAATACCTGAGAAAGCCAGGAGGAAAACCAGACAATATGTGCAGAATTTGAGAGGCATTCTTTAAATGATTATTGGCTTATTGTGGTTTGAGTCAGACTTCAGCTGTGATAATGTGTATGGGACAGGATCTGGTTGGGAGAAGATGAAAGCTCACTCTTTGCCAACCATGGGTGGATTCGGCCACAGAGCTCTGCAGCTGACTGACCACTCCTGTCACCCGAGCCTGGCCCCAGGATGGACATGCTACAAGCCCAGATCATGATCACAAGACAGTGGGGATATTTGCTTGTTGTTGACACAAGAACTGAAGCTAAGTAGAAAAATGTGTCTGGCTTTGACGTGGGTCCTTCTGGCAGTCAGCAGGGAAACACTGGGAAGCATGGATAAGCTGCAGTCAGGAGCTGGTGTCAGAGATGGCAGGTGCCTTCAGCGGTCATTTGACCTTTGGCTTTGGTGCCCATCTGGTTTCTAAAATGCTCCTCTCTGTTTCTGACCTTGAACCCAGTACTAGAGTGACTGTTGTGCTTTTCCCAAACAAGCTGTGAACTTCTAGTTCTTAGGTTTCATTCTGTCCCCAACAAAGACACCTTCTCCCACACACCTCGGCTTGCTGCAAAGTGCTAACCCTCTTGCAAGGCCAATCCCTGTGTTGCACCCTCCCCCAAGTGCTCTGCCTCCCTGCCCAGGGCAGGCAGCCCTTCCTCAAGTTCCCACCGAGCTGCCCAACTCCATCCACATGGTAACACAATGTGGCTTTATCTTCAAGTATTTCTATTTTTTTTCCTCCTGGATTTGAGTTTTCTGCCTCTTCTACTTTATTGTTGACGTTCTTCATATTATATTCTCTGCAACAATTATAAAAGAGGGGAGGAGTCTTTTTAAATAGCAAATCAAAATATATATTAACATTTTCCTTTTTTTGAGACAAGGTCTTGCTGTGTAGTCCAGGCTGGCCTTGAACTCACAATCCTCCCGCCTCAGCCCTCAAGTGCTGCAGTTATAGATGTGTACCACCACGTCGGACTTAGATTTCCTTCTTTCTTCCTTTCTGCCTTTTCTCCTCCTTTAGACATTTTTATTAGCAACTGTTCTAATATGTGATCTGCTCCCCTAGGAAATATTCAGCTCCTTGAGGACATCTTATTTAGTAGAGGACTTGACCTTTCTACTTACCCAGTAAGCATCTCTTTATTTAGTTAGTAGCAACCAGCTCTAGGGCTGTCTTATAGCCCAGAAATAGCTGGAAGAGCTCCCATTTAACCACAGGGCATGGGAAGTGCCTCCTGTGCAGTAACTCTTACCTGTTCTTAGACACTATGCACCTTCCTCAGTGGAGGTGATTATTTTCAGTAGCATTATCAGGTTTGCTTATTTAGAGGTTGCCAGTAGGAAACAAGCAATGCTCAAAAGTGGGCAATTTCAAGCAAATTTATTAAGCGTGTGGGCAAGTATAGGAAAACGCAAGAGGTGATGCAGTATCCCAGGGTGAAGGGGCTTGACTGTCACCCTTCAGCCTGAAATGTTGGATATAGAGAGCAGCAGAACCAATGGGAAGAAGGGTCAGAAAGCTTGAGAGGGCAGCTGTGGGCTCCTGCAGAACCCCCCCACCCCGGACATGGAAAGAAGTCCCCAGGCCACCCTCATCTGTCTCCCTCTCCACTCAATCTCCTGCAAGTCTGAGGCAGAAGGCCCACAGGGATCAGGATCCTTGACCACAGCACAGGGAGAAGAGTAGAGAACAGATCTGGACAAGTAAGGGGAGGGCAATGCTATTTAATGATTCTCTTTCACTCCTGGACTCTTTCAGTCATACCTGGGTGTTGTGAGACTGTACATTCAAACAGCTAGATGTCAACAGGGAAAAAGGCACAGTAATTTTCCTGACTTAAGTGTTTGGACACATGACCACCAGGACTCTTCAGCCCCCAAACTTCCAATAGCCTTTGTGCATTACCTTGACAGATGCAAATTCTCTCTTTCTAGAGGGAGATTCTGCTCACATGTTCTACTGGACTCTGGGACCGGGATGTGAGCTGCATGCCTCTTGACTGTGGCCTCCCTGACCCGACTTTGGTGAACTATGCAAACTTCTCCTGCTCAGAAGGCACCAACTTTCTGAAACGCTGCTCTATCTCTTGTGTGCCACCAGCCAAGCTTCAAGGTATTGTCTTGCCAACCAGGCACTTACACCTGTTCTCTTTGAGGAACTTTGGGGCTCTTTTCTTTACCCTACACCCTTTTCCTTCATCCTACCATGACACCCTCTCCTGACGTTATAGGCAAAATCACAAATGGAAACACCCTTCTTAGGTCCTGACTACCTGGAAGGATTTCAGAGCTCAGGATCTCATTCATGGAAGAAGCTTAGATTTTTCTTTTTGTTTGCTTATGTGCCCCCGTTTCAAATCAATCCAATTAGTCTATGGCCATACCACCCTGAATGCGCTTGATCTCGTCAAATCAAGCCAATTAGCACAGTGGTCTTGATAATATTAATAACTAGGTATACTTTTTTATATGCATTTTAAAATTTAGTCTTTACAACCATTCTGTGAGTTAGTTGTATTTTGTTCTGTCTTATGGATGAGAACAGAGCTGCATCAGTTGACCTAGACTGTAATGGTAGATTTGAAGATGTGGGGCCATCTAGGTTAACTGACCCTGATATTTTGCTCTTTACCTTACCAGGCTTCTCAGACTTTGGTGCATGTTACACTTATTCATGATAAATGTAGATTCCCCAACCTTATTCTGAGAAATTCTGGCTTAGTAGGTCTAGTATGAGCTGGTGCTGCTTTTGTGAGTAGGTTCACGGATTGCACTTGGAGAAACCAAGTGTTGCACTGAGGCCTGGAATGTAGTGTTTTAGCAGAACTTTGACTCCAAATGGGCTGGGTCTGAGTACAAAGTTTACTTCTGCTTTGTTAGGGCCTGGGCAAGTTTGTGACCCTAATTTCTTCATCTGCACAATAAAGAATCTATTTCATAAGGTTGTTAGTGGTTTGGAGCTTACGAAAGTTAATACACATAAGACGCTTCAAACAGTGGTTGGCACATGGTAACCATTAAAAAAATGCCATGTGCTATTATTTTAACACTATCTGTGTTACTATCAGTGCTATATTTTTATTATTTGTGATTAGGGAGGAAAGTAATGATTTAGTAAATAGCCCTTCTGAAGCAAATTTATGTGACCTCTGTCCTATATAATGCTCTATCCAGTGGGTGCTCTATGGCAGCACGATACAGGATGAACATTTGATGTTGAGACTTTAGAGACACTGCTCAAAAAAAGGATAATGTGGCCTTTGAAGAGTTTTAATGCTCTGACAGACTTTCATGCTTTTCACTGTTTCTGTTACTCTGCCTTCTGAGCACCCGGTGCTTCTTTTTCTTGGAGTCAGGACTGAGCCCATGGCTGACCTGCCTTGAAGATGGGATGTGGTCTCTTCCTGAAGTCTACTGCAAGCTGGAATGTGACGCTCCCCCTGCCGTTCCAAACGCCAACTTGCTCCTGCCTAACTGTGCCCAGGGCAGCCACGACGTGGGCACCATCTGCAGCTATGAATGCAAGCCAGGCTACTACGTGGCAGAGAGTACGGAGAGTAAAGTCAGGAAGTAAGTGGCAGTGTTCTTGCTCCTCGCTGTCTCACAAATCCAGCTCCTCTTCCCTCATTTGTAAACCCCAGACCATTCCTTTGCTTTTTGGGTTTTTCTTTTTGGTACCAGGGATTGAACTCAGGACCTTGTACTTGCGAGGCAGGAGGCAGAACCACTGAGCTAAATCCCCAGCCCCCATACCATTCTTTTGGAAAGATTGGGATGACCTTTTGAGATACCCACTGTGTATTGTATTAATTTTTCTATACAATCTCTCCTCACTGGTACAGATATATTCTTCAGTCATAACAGGCAAATGACATTCTACATTTGATTTAAAGTCATTCTTTCCTGTAGGAGATTTTGTAACTTCACCTATATGCTTTTTAAAAGAACTTGTGCACTCATTGTTATTTTCCTTGCAGTTAACTGCCAGGAACTGCCAAGCATTATCCATCTCATTTGACTCCATCTCTGCGCTGGCTTGTCCTGATCTGTCCAGATTATAACTGTGGCTTGCGCAGAAACTGCCTGGCAGAGTCCCCAGTCCAAACACTTACTAGACAGATGCGTGATGTTGGGAAGATTTCATTCTCTGTCTCAGTCTTCTCATCTGTAAAATGGGGATGATAATAATAATAATAATAGGTACCTTATAGGGCTGATATAATAGCATACTAATTAACAATCTGCTTTTTAGAAAAACATAAAACACAACACTTTCTAGCTACTGATACTCTTTCACGGTCTTTCTGCTTTCTTCTCCCTGAATTTGGTGGATACATAATCACATGGTCATACCTGAAATGCCTTCCTTCTGAAGGCATGAAGAATAAGAAAGACAAATGCAGTACTTTACAATTATGGTAGAGTGCGCAGTAATAGGCTCTCAGTCTGCCTAGGATCCAAATGCTGGTCTTTCTTTTACCAGCTCCATAACTACAGGGAAGTTTCTCTATTCTTTGTGTCTTGGTGTCCTTTGTACATTGAGAGTAACTGACACCAGTAGAGGTGCCTGGCTTGTGCCAAAGACACAATTATTGCTTTCAGGAAATAAAAAGAAATTATAAACAAATAAACAACAAGTTTTTCAGGAAAAAGAAATTCTTTGTATTTGGTAATAAGTAGTGGGTGTTCTTTCCATACTTAAATGTATAGGTACAGGAGAAAATCTTACCTGGGATTTAGTTCAAAGTCTGAGCATAGGTTTTCTGTTTTAAGATATGTGTAGCTAATAAAATCTGGTCCACGGCATTACCAATGTTGCTGCAGACATAACTTTTGCTCGTAGACTACACTGCTCAAGGGGCACAGGATAAAATCAGGAAATGTATCCTCTGGATCACACTCATACCTGATGCAGTTGACCCCAGCCACGTTAACATGGAACTTACAGAGCTTTGGCCTGGCCAAGGCAGGCCCTTCCACCTTGGGAAAAGCCCAGGCTCAAAGGTGGGAGGAGAAGAACAAATGCCCTTCCTCTCCTCTCAGCCAGAGGAAAGAGCTGGGCTGATTAGAACATGAGCGATATGGATGAAAAATTCATAACAGGACGCACTCTGGGCTTTAGTGGACATTCCTAGGTGCAGGGAACCATTTTTGACAACACAGAGTACATTTGCATGTGATTTTCCTAGGATCTAGTGCACTTTGTATCAGCACACACTGACAAGTAGTGGGTGCCCAGCAATCTTCAAGTGAGGATGCTATGCTAGCTTACCTGAAGGCTGCTGTTTCTTGCCCCCGCCTCCCCACTTTCTGGCTGCCTTTTCATGCATTAGCAGTCACTTTGGATGTCTGCAGAGTTGCAGTGTAGAATAATTGAAAGTGACAGAAATGCATCAGGACATGAAAGAATTAAGGGTGGAGAGCTGACTAGGCCCAAGGCTGATCTTTCTGGTGGGAAAAATGAAGTTTCCTCCCAGAACTCTGGGTTTTTGGCCTCAGCCTTGTAACTCTGCCCTGAGGCATGGGGCACTTAAGAGCCATGCGTGGACCTAGCTTTTCTGGCTGAGAAACTGGATGCTTGCATCACAAAGTCAGCAACAGTTTTGGCTTAAACATTTACATTCGCAAGCACCATGCTAAGGAGAGATTAAATTATTTACTGCTCTGTGTAAACTGATTAAATCTTAGTTTACACCTGTTTACATAGCAGGCGACAATTGGTAATCAGAAGTTTGCACGGCAGGCGTAAATCACTGTCACTTGCCACTTGTGTTTATCCAGTGAAATATGTCAGCCTCGTTCCCCCTTGGAAAAAGCCCAGTGTTGTACAAATGGGGCTCTGAAATTCTTCTTAGGACATCCACGCATGAAGAGAAAAAAGTGACAAATGCAAGCAGGGAAATGAACCCAGAGGAAGCAGGCACATGCTAATTTATGCAGTTGTACAATGTATAGTAGAGGGAGAAACAAATGCTTGATGGTTGGATCTGCAATTTGTTCTTGTGACTCTGAGCAATATATTCAACATCCGCAGGCTATAGGTTTTGCATCAGTAATATGAAGGGTAGTAATTATTTGTATCCAACAACATTCTTTTGAGGCTAAAAGTTGGGTAATATATTGGAAACATTTTATAAACTGTAAGTTTAGTATATATGCCATGCTGAGTGTTACTGCTTGTTTGTTTCTTTTTAAAAGAAGGAAGCAACTACCAAAATATCAGCCAAATGCATTCTCTTCCTGCTTCTTCCAAAGTCTGTTGTAGAGTAAGTGCCAGACTTGACTACTTCTAAGATCCCTTTGTCCCACTCCAAGTGGGGTTAGTGGGGAAGATTAATTTATCACGTGTACACTCCATGCCAGGGTCTGGTCAGTAATGAGACCTAGGCAGGGGCATCTCAAAACTAGAAGTGAGCTCTGTTTTAACCCACTCCCTCGAAAGTCTTCTTCTTTGGTTCTATTCCATCTCATGCCCTGATTTTTCTTCTTCCTCTCTGTCTCTTCTCAATTTTCTTTCCCAGTCTTTTCCCTCTGCCAATTTCTTCTGTGTTGGTGTTTATGAGTTCTTTTTTTTTCCTCTCTTGATCTACACATTTGTCCAGGATGAAGCCCCTTTAGTCCATATCTTCCCTTAAAGACTAAGAGGGCCATAAGGCCAACTGCCTCCATTATCCCATCTGTACCTCAAGCTCTTAACTGTATAGCAAAGTTCATAATGATTCCTTTCAGGTCTGGATAAAAAAATCTTTCAAAGAACTCAAATTCAATTATAATATTCTCCCGGATAAAAATGATTAACAAATCTTTCTTCAGTGAGAGGGTGAAAACAGCGTAAGTCAAAAGATTTTCAGGGTCTCCTGTGATCTACCTGGGCCTTGTTTATTTCTAAAGACTTGACCCCCCAGTCTCTTCGCCAGGACACCATGTCTTGCCATTTACACACCTGCTGGAGTACAGGCTATAATGCCACTCAACTAATTCTATGTTGTCATAGAAGTCATGGTTAGCATGCCTCTGGGCCTTCACACATACTGTTCCTTTTTCCTGGATCTTTTCCTTGGTCAACTCTTCTTTTCCTGTGTTTAGCAGTGGTGTGAGTTTCCATTCAGGAAGCCCATCACATCTCCCTAGATGGCAGGAAGAGAGCTACACCCTGTACTTTTATTGCAGAGGATAACGTCTACTCTCCTGATTACCAATAATTCAATTACTCACCTATGTTCTCCAATAGACCGCACATATTTTAGTTAGTATTTTGTGTACAGTGGCAAGTATATTCACTTGCAGGTACTTGATACTTTCTGAATTGAGGAAAGCATGACAGGACATTGATGCTAAACAAAGTTGATGCTAAAGATAGTGAAGAAAAGAGAAGGTTTTTCTTATGGAGTGATTGGGAGGAAGAAAACTTTAAATATACATATATGTTTTTATTCTAACAATTTTCTCTGTCACATAGAAGGAAAGGTCAACTCTCCAAAGACAGTTTTAACTTTATTTATTCAACAGACATTTACACTTGATTAGCATGACTCCGTACAAGTTACTGGTAATAGAAAAAAGATGGACATGGCAACAAGCTCTCTGGAACAGTGCTTCTCATATTTGGCTGCATGTAGAATCACCCAGGGAGATTTAAAAACTCCTACTGTCCTTGTCATACCCAACCAATTACAGACAGACTCTGACTTACCATGGTTCCACTTAAAATTTTTGACTTTTCTACATGGTATTTATTCAATAAAGACTGTATTTCAAATTTTGAATTTTTTTCCCCTGGACATTAGAGTACACTGTGTTGGCAAGCTAGGGTGTCCAGTAGACTAGGTATGGTACAATCACTTTGCTTATGATGGGTTTATTGGGATGCAACCCACTGTAGGTCAAGGGACATTTGTACTCCAGTATCTCAGGGGTGGGACCTGGACATCAGTATTTTAAAAGTTACGCAAGCCCCTACTGTGTGCAGCCAAGCTCAAGAACAAACCAGTGGAAACTTTGGTCTTTTTAAAATGATATCAGCAATGAGATTTGGCTCTTCTAAAAAAGAAAAACAAAAACAATAAACATTATCTCTTTTCCAAATGAGTACATTAGCCTTCTGCATGGCAGAGTTTTACATGTCACTTTGAGGATTATTTGTTTTTAAAGGTACTAGAAAGAATATAATAAGTATAACTTGAAGGAAACTGCAAAATTTCTAATTTCAAAAATTCTTTTCTCCACTATTTCTGATAAGCATAAACTTCTCTGAAGTAAAGCCCTTTTTCTTTTGTGCAATTTATTTTCACAAACACATCATCATTAATCATTTCTTCGTTGTTTCATTAACTTGACTTCCTAGGAAGCTAAAATAAATGTGTTTGACTTATATTTTATCAAAAAGACAGTATTAAACTCCCTTATCTTTCACTTCCATGGTGGCCTTTTTCTCATTACATGTTATCTTTCTGTGTGAAGGTTAGGTTAACATCATTAGAGCTCAGACTTAATTAATTTCTAAATCATTCCAGCCTTCTAGGTTTGCTTGGACTATCTTTTCTTTTTTAAGTCGTTCATTAAGATGCCAT